CTATAGTCTTTCCCATTTCCCACCCCGCTCCCTTCCCTTCATTCTCCTTTATCTAATCCAGTTAAATTCTATTATTCCCTCCTCCACCACTTATTGTGAGTTCGCATCTGCATATCAGAGAGAACATTCAGCCTTTGGTTTTCAGGATTGGCTTATTTTGCTTAGCATAATATTCTCCAGTTCCATCCATTTACTGGCAAATGCCATAATTTCATACTTTTTAATGGCTAAATAATACTCCAATGTGTATATGTACCATATTTTCTTTTTCCATTCATCTGTTGAAGGGCATCTAGGTTGGTTCAATAGCTTAGCTATTGTGAATTGAGCTGCTATAAACACTGATGTGGCTGCATCACTACAGTATGCTGATTTTAAGTCCTTTGGGCACACACTGAGGAATGGGATAACTGGATCAAATGGTGGTTCCATTTCAAACTTTTTGAGGAATCTCCATACTGCTTTTCAGAGTGGCTGCACCAATTTGCAGTCCCAACAGCAATGTATGAATTTACCTTTTCCCCCACATCCTCACCAACATTTATTGTTATTTGTATTCTTGATAACTGCCATTCTGACTGAAGCGAGATGAAATCTCAATTTTAATTTGCATTTCTCTAATTGCTAGTGATGTTGAACACTTTTTTTATGTATTTGTTGACCAACCATATTTTTTCTTCTGTGAAGTGCCTGTTCAGTTTCTTTGCTCATATATTAATTGGGTTATTTATTTTTTTGTTGTTAAGTTTTTTGAGTTCTTTATATATCCTGGAGATTAATGTGCTGAGGTGGAGATGGCAAAGATTTTCTCCCAGAAAAAGGTAACTTAACAGACATGAGGTGGGATATCTCTCAGTGTTCTGATTTCCATTTTCCTGATGATTATGGCACTGAGTATATTTTAATATATTGGATTGCTATCCCAATGCTTTCTTTGAAGAAATGTCTATTCAAGTCTGTAGTCTATTTTTATTAATTTTTTGGTTTGTTGATTTGTTCTTGCTGAGTTATAAGAGTTCTTTATATATTCTGGAGATTAATCTTTTATCAGATGCATTGTTTACAAATATTAGCATAATTTTCTCCAGTTCCATCCATTTACTGGCAAATGCCATAATTTCATACTTTTTTATGGCTAAATAATACTCCAATATGTATATGTACCATATTTTCTTTTTCCATTCATCTGTTGAAGGGCATCTAGGTTGGTTCAACAGCTTGGATTCCTACAGATCATCATCAATTCACTCTATTGTTTCCTTCAGTGAGTGGAGACTTCCTAATTTGATATATTTCTACTTGTCTATTTTTGGTTTTGTCAACTGTGCTTTTGGTGTTATATGTAAGAAACCATTGTTTTCCTGTGTTTTAGTATAGAAGTTTCACTGTTTCAGGTTGTATGTTAAAATCTTTAACCCACTTTGAGTTGATTTTTGTATAAGAGAATAATCTGATTCCATTCTTTTGCCTATGGTTATCAGGTTTTCCCAGTAACATTTGTTAAAGAGACTATCCTTTCTCTGTTGTATATTCTTGGCAATCTTATTGATGATCAGTTGACCATATGCATAGGTTTATTTCTGGGCTATTTTGTTTCACTGATGTACATCTGTCTTATGCTAGTATCATAAGGTTTTAATTACTGTAGTTTTATAATACATTTTGGAACCAGGAAATGAGAAGCTTCCAGATTTTTCTATCTCAAGACTGTTTCTGGCAATCTGGGATTCTCTGGGGTTCCATATGAATTCTGGGATTTTTATAGAGACTATATTAAATCTGTACATCACTATGAGTAGTACAGACCTTTTAACAATATATTAAAGTCTTCCAAGCATGAACACATAATATCATTCCATTTGTTTGTATCTTCTTTAATTTCTTCCAGCAATATTTTATAGTTTTCAGTGAGCAAATCTTTTACTTCCTTGGTTACATATTCCTAACCATTTTCTAGTTTTTGATGCTATTAGAAATGGGATTGTTTCATTTCTATTTGAAATTATTTATTGTTAGTATATAGAAATGCAACTGATTTTCATATGCTAATTTTTAATCTTGCAACTTTTCTGAACTCATTTATTACTTCTTACAGATATTTGTGTGTGTTTCAGGGGTGCTTTCTATTTACATAATCATGCCCTCTGCAAATTAAGACAATTTTATTTCTTCCTTTCTGATTAGGATGCCTTATTTCTTTTTCTGGCCTAACTGCTCTAGGTAGGACTTCTATGTTGAACAGAAGTGAAGAATGTGTGTACTTTGCCTTTTTCCTGATACTAGAGGAAAAGCTATCAGTTTGAATGTCAAGTATTATATAAAATAAGGGCTTTTATACATAGTCTTATATTAAGTTGAGGTAATATTCTCTTATATCTAGGATGAATATTTCGTTCATAAAAGTACTGAATTTTGTCAAATGCTTTATTTGCATCTCTTGAAGTGGTGTGATTTTTATACTTCATTCTATTATGATGATGTAATAAAATGATTGATTTCATACATTGAAATATCATTGCATCCCAAGAATAAACTCCATTTGGTCATGGCGTGTCATGACACACCATGACATGAACATACAGTTCACTAGTATTTTGTTAAGGATGTCCACATCAATTTTTATTATGGATACTGACATGTAGATTTCTATTTTTTCAGTCTTTGATTTTGGTATTATAATAATGCTACATTTATAAAATTAGTTTGGGAATGCTTCTTTCTTTTCAGCTTTTTTGAAGAGTTTTGAGGATTGGCACAAATTCCTCTTTAAATATTTGGCCAAATTCACTAGTAACATCTGGTTTTGAGCTTCTTTCTCTTTGGGGGGAAACTTTTTGATTAATGACTCAACAGCTTATAAGTTTTCCACTTTTTCATTCATATGTTTCCAGAAAATCACCCACTGTTTTCTCAGTATCCTTTGTTTTCTGTGGCATCATTTATAATATTTCCCTTTCAATTCTGATTTTGATTTTTTTTTCTTAGTGTAGCTAAAACTGTCAATTTTGTTTGTCTTTTCAAAAAAAAGCTTTTTCTCTCAATGTTTTACTATTCTTTATTTCATTTATTTTTACTCTGATCTTGTTTACTTAATCCCTACTGCATACTTTGGGATTATTTCTTTCTCTAATTCTTTGTAAATTAGGTTGTTTATTTGTGCTCTTTCTCCTTTTTTTTTTTTAACATAGGTACTTATTGCTACACAGGTCTCTCAGAATTGCCTTTGCTGCATCTTCTAAGTTTTTGTATGTTGTACTTTCATTTTTGTCTCTATTTTCTAATTTCCATTTTGATTTTTCCTTTGACTCACTGGTTAAGGGATATTATTTAATATGCCCACATTTAGTGAATTTCCTAATTTTCCTCCTGTTACTGATTTCTAGTTTCATTACATTGTAGTTGGACATAAAACTTGGTATGTATTTAATCTTAAATTTGCCGAGTAGTTTAGTGACCTAACGCGTGGCCTACCCTTGCGAACGTTCTGTGTATATTTGAGAAGATCCTGTTATTAGTCTCTAGTTACAATAAATGTTCTGCTAGACACACAGGCGCATGCATGTAACCCCTGCTGCTCAGGAGGCTGAGATGGAGGATCAGAAGTTCAAAGCCAGCCACAACAACTGAGACCCCATCTCAAAAAAAAAAAAGGGGTGGGGGTTGGGGCAGGGCTGAGGATGTGACTTAACAGTTAAGTGCCCCTGGGTTCAATCCCTGGTAAAAAAAAAAAAAAAAAAAGAAAGAATGTTCTGTGTATGTCTATTAAGTCCATTTGGTCTATAGTGTTGTTAAATTTTTCTGCTTTATTTATATCTTCTGTCTGGATATTACATTTATTATTTAAAGTGGTCTACTGAAATTTCCTGCTATAATTATGGCTACCTATTTCTTTCTTCATATATATCCACAATATTTGTTTCATATACTAGGAGTGCTGATGTTGGCTGCATATATAATTATTATATTTTCCCGGTGAATTGATCCTTTTATCATTATATGATGTCCTTTTTCTGTTGTAAGAGTTTTTGACCTCAAGTCTATTTTGTCTGATATAAGTGTACCATCTGTGCTCTCTTTTGATATCTTCTTGTTTGTTTCCATACAATAATCTATGTCTTTTGATTACAGAATTTAATCCATTTACAATGTCAGTTGTTAGTGACTGGGAAGATATATGGTCATTTATTTAGTTCTTTTCTGAGTACTGCAAGTCTCTCTTTTGTACTGCTTTTTTTTTTTCCTCTCTTGCTATCTTCCTTTATGTTTGGCTGAGTTTACATAATGACAAAACTCATTAATTTCTAATTTCTTTCTCATTTTCTTTTGTACATTTTTCAAAGGTTCTATTTTTGTCCTCATCACAGCGTTTACTTATATCATAACAATCTATTTTAATAGTGTAACAATTTATGCTAAATAAAAACTTCTACACTTTTATTTCTTCTCCCAACAATTTTTATGTTATTGATGTTATAATTTACATCTTTGTATATTGTGTATCTGTTAACATATTTATACAGCTACAGTTATTTCTTACACATAGAATTTTCAACTTATATACCAGAATTAAAGTCATTTATGCTGTAATAGTACTGCCACAATACTGTAATATTCTGTTATCTGTTTACATATTTCCCTTTACCAGCAAATTTTATACTTACTTATGCTTTCATGTTACTGTTTGGCATCCTTTTAAAAATTTATTCTGTCTTAAACTAGACTCCTGAATCTAAATACATATTTATTTCATAAATTAAAATTGCTGAAGAACATGCATCAATGTTATTTGGCAATTATAAATCAGAATTAAGATTCTGTTCAAAGACTCAGGTTACTGAAGGAGCCTAATTCTTGCAACCAATATGCAGTTCTAGTACATAAAAAGCCCACCAGGACTGGTGATGTACTTCAGTGTTAAAGCCCTGAGGTCATCCCCAGCTCCAGGAGGGGAAAAAAAATAAACTACACTATATAGAAGGTGCACCAATTTTAATACTTACCAGTTCCTTTGCTTAGATATGGGGGCTTAAAGAATTTCACAACACCATAGACATTTACAATTGTACCACCTTTAAGTTGATTAAGGGGTGTATATATATAATTTGTTGCTGGAACCTGAAGAAAGAAAATACAGTGATTACATTATTATTTCTTTTTAGAATCATATCATCAGTTATAAATGAGCAAATCTACATAACTGTATATTACCCTTCAAGAATCGAAAAGAAGACAACTTTTAAAAAGGTAATGTGCAGTTTATAAAATTTACTATATAAATCAACTAGTTTTCTTCAAAATAACTTGTTTAAACATTATACTTCTTCAATAATAAAGTAGAAAAGAGTACATTAAAGTATCAGTAACTAATGTATAAACTGAAACAATATAGGAAATAAGAAACTATTAAAATATGCATATCTTCTAAGTTAAAGAAAAAGAGTTTTACTAAAGAGATATGATGCATAAGGCTGGGGATGCAGCTCCATGGTAGAGCATGTGCTTAGTACAGGCAAGTCCCTGGACTTGAATCCAGTATCCTCCCTCCCCTCAAAAGAAAAGGAATAATTAATTATAATGAGACTTTTCTTAAAGTCCTGAAAGAGTGGTAAGAATACTGGTTCTATCAATAAAGAATTCTGTATCTTATAAGTTTAGGGAAAACGTTTTATCTAGGGTATTCCCAAAAGTACTAAAGGCTCTGAGGG